GACAAACAGTCCTCAAAATTGTCAAAGTCATGATAAAAAAAAGTGTGATACATTGTAGTAGGCCAGGGAAGGTTCAGGATTTATATAACGAAACAGATTTTCACATTATAGAAATAGGATTTTAGCAAGAAAACTAGCAAAAACCTAATAAAATGTAGAGTTTGGTTAATCATAACGTACAAATATCAATTTCTTCATTGTGACAAATGGTGATTTAAAGTATTAACAATAGGGAAAATTTGGAGAAGGGTATATGAGAATTTAGGATTACTATCTCAACTTTTCTATAATACTAAGAAGTATTCTAAAACCAAAAGTTTACTTATGTTTAAAAAACATAAATAAATTATTACAGCTATAAAAACAGCATCTTATATTAACTTTAAAAGAGATGCACAAATTTCATTTTACTTGCATTAATATTTTAAGATGAAATTGTGGAGATACAGGAAGTAGAGTAGAAGGAAAGGCAGAAGAGAAATTAATACATACTGAATAGTATTATTTACTAGGCTCATCTTTATTTCATTCATTTGACCACTTTTTAAAAGCTATGGCAAGAGCCTCATTACCTAGAAGAAAAATCGGGGCAGAGTACAGGCAACATTTCAAGGTTGCACAGGCATGAAACAAATAGAAGAATTGGCAATAAAAATAAGGGGATAGGAGCATGTTCACTATGAATAGTCATGTGATGCCGAGAAAGGAATCGGGAGGAAGGAGGCAGCCGAAGTCCCCATAACTCTCCAAGATTTGAGGGAAGTGAGTGTGTTTTCAAGTCTGCTGCTCACTAGATACTAATACTGAGTTGTGCCAACATAAGTATCACTAAGGTTGGAGTCTTCAATAATGAATGTTAAGTATTTGAGATCATTTTCTTCTTTCTGACAGAATTTTATTGGGCAATATAATGATTTCTCTTCTTGTGTCCATTGCTAGAAGGTTTTCTGTGGATTCACCTAATCTAACATTTTCTTGTAGATTCATAAACACTGAACAGTTTGTTTTTGGGGTAAAAGTGAAGAATTATCCTTAGCTTTGGTAAAGGGCTTTGACATAGACCACCAATGCTTACTTTTCATTGTTTATGTAATTTATAAGGATAGTATGTATGTGTTTCTGTGAAACTTTCTTCAGCTTAGTTTGTTTTGAATTTCAGGTTGTTATGGCAACAAAGTTTTTGCTTTAACTAGACTTTCAGCTTCTCTGGCTGTTACTTTTGTCATCGCTTGACTACCAGACATTCTATTCAAAGATATGGCTTGATTAGGGTAAACAAATGTCACTTAAGTATACAGGGGTAGAATTTTTTGTAAAATAATAAATATAATAACGTGCTCACCATTGTGGTTATTTTATTTTATCATTCATTATTTTTTTCCAGTGTCAGACCATCTGAAGACATAAATTTAGGTATAAAATACAAGGAAAGAAATATCGATAAGAAAAAATCACATAAACTTTACTATGGTGAAATTATACAAAAACCAGACAGTAAGTAATCACTGTTGACAAGTTTTTATAATGTTGTTTTATACATTGCTGTGAATAAGAGGATTACAGTAATACTTTGGCTATCAAACATGTGTTTGCAAACAACGTGGTCCTCAAAAGTGCTTAACGAAATTTTGCTTCTGGTCACAAACTCCATATTGATCGGCAAACATAAACGACATCTTTGCCAAAATCATAAAACAAATGAGGTTCATGACCTGAGGTGCCACTGTCCTGTACTGTACTATACTGTACTCTGTATGCTAGGATTTTGGTATTACTTAGTACGCATAATGTAATGTTCTATGATCTCCACTTAACAAAGGAGGAAAGCAAGGCTCAGACATATGTCATTTGTTCAAGGCTGTGCAGGATAGGTGGAGCAGTTCTAAATTCTAAATGATAAAACAGGTACAAAGTGTGTCCTATAACTTCCAAAACAGAGATAGTACTAGAGTCTTAATATTTTCCCTTAATTGTTTAAGAAATGAGATCAGTTAAAATTGTGGACTGAACTGGAAATATTAAGTAAAGCAAGGGAGGAACAGAAAGACTAGTAGTACCTGACTGGTACGGTTTGTATGTAGATGTCACCCCCCACCCCATGAAGTCATAGGTGGGGCTTTCAGAAGTGGCTGAATCTAGCATGTGTGATGCTGGGAAGAAGGCTACATAATTACTAAATTAGTCCACTGATTGTTTTAGCATAGTTCTGGGTGTGGATGATGGGAAGGCCCACTCTGCGTGTGGGTGGCCCCATCCAAATGTGAGTAACTTGGAAGGGTTAAAAGAGGGATTTGCTGCTGCTCTTTGCTGCTTTGCTGTCTCCGGTCTGCTTGCCATGGACTCCTCTTCTGCAGTGCCCCTTTGCTGCGTCCCTGCCTTGGAGCCAGGTGGCTGTGGACTGAAACCTCTAACTGAAATAATGAATTTGGGTTGTTGGGTATTTTGTCTCACCAAGGAGAAAAGTAGTACGACAATGACCTCACTTAAACGTGGAATCTCAGAAAGTTGATTATGAAACTTGGGAGTAGAATGGTGGTTACCAAAGGCTACGGAGAGTGTGAGTAGGGAGGAATGGGAAGAGCTTAATCTATGGGTACTAAGTTACAGTAGATAAATACAGAAGTTCTGTTGTTCTATTGCCTAGTATTGTTTTCTATAGATAACAATAATGTACTGTACGTTTAAAAAATGAAAAGGTTGAGAATGTGTTCATCCTAAAGTAATGATAAGTCTTTGAGGTCATGGATATGTTTAATTTGATATAAGTATTACACACTGTATTCATGTACCAAAACAGCTTGTGGTACCCCACTAATGTGTACAATTTTTGTGTTTTTACGTGCTAGTAAAAAAGAAATTTAAGTAAAAAGTGAAGATGAATAAAAACCTCTTTCTCCCAGTAATTCCAAAGCTACACACAAGGTATTAGTTTAGTTTTGGCTGACCATAGAAGAATATTAATAAAGTAATTGAAAGGCAGGCATGGTGAAACATGCCTGTAACCTCAGCACTCTAGAAGGTGGAAAGGTCGCTTGAGCTCAGGAGTTTGAAACTCGTATGGGCAACATAGTGAGACCCTATTCCTCCCATCCCCTATACCTCCCATTCCTCATGTTATGGTTTGTTTCTAGATGTGCCCCCAAAGCCTCATGTACTCATAGTGGGGCTTTTTCAGAAGGGGCTGAATCTCGAATGTATGATGTTTGGGTTAAAGGTTTGTGATTACTAAATCAGCCTACTGATTGGGTTGGCACTGCTCTAATCTAGTAGCTTAGATAGACTATAAAAGGGACAGAAAGAAGCTGCAAAGGTCCCGTGTTGCTTTGCTACCATCTGCCTGCCATGAATTGTTCTCTGTGATGCCGCCCTGCCTGGGAGCTGTCCAACTGTGAACTGAAACCTCTACAAATTATTAGCTAAATAAACCTTTTACCCTTTAACTTTGGGTGTTGGGTATTTTGTCTCAGGAACAAGAGAAAAAGGTAGGTGAGACTCCTGAAAATATTTGAAATACAGGAATCATTATCATACTTAAGTTTATTATTTAGAAAGGTATTTGAGAATCACCCCTGAAGTTCTGTTTTCTACAATTACTTTTTTTTTTTCGACTTATGGCCAATAGGATGTTCCACTTTCTTAAAGCCGATATGTTGATCTAGAACTTCTGGTGAAACTTTGCCATCAAAAGTTGCATAATAATTTGTTAACATTCAATGCCCACTTCTAAACTAATGTACTTTATATAGAGTAAAGTTTTTCTCAGGATCACATGGGATATTATACGGTAAGCACTTTGACCATTATATTATAGAAACTCAATACCATTTTTATTAGTACTGTTATGTTATTATAGTTGAATCTTGGAGTATCGATTTTGTAGTTATCCTCAAGTCCACGATCTGCCATTTATCAGCTGTATAAACTCAGGCAAGTTACTAAAGCACCTTGACCCTGAATTATTCAATCTGTCTTATGAGTGTAATAAAAACCTTACAACTGGAAAGATTTCTTCTTTAACTTTGCATAGTCCTTTGGTTCTCAAAGAGTAGTCACTAGCCTAGCATTATAAATGTTATAGAACTTATTAAATATAATAAGATATAATTTTAGGTACCTTTATCTCTCTACCCACATTAAATCTGAGGCCTGTGGTACATAGCAGTCCATGTTTTAGTAATCCATTTAGGTAGTTCTCATGCCAGTTATAATTGGAGAACCACTGACACCTGATTTGTACTAGAACAGGTACTGAATTTTGGCCTTTTTCTAGTTACTAAGCCACGATGAAGACAAAATCACTGTTGCTACCTTCTACAAACTCACAGTGCACAACAAGAAATCATACCTTGAATTAAGTTTTTGTTGATTTTTATTCCTTTAGCTGCTTATCAAGTGAAGAAAAACCTTTTGCACTTTGAGCATGAATTTGCTTTTAAGGTCATGTTGAAATAAGAGTCCCATCATTTTGTGTGCATAATAAATACAACAACACAGGTCTGGTTTACATTATAGCGAAATGAAGGAGTACCTGCAAATTTAAAATTTTAGGTATTTTGTTAAATTCAACACTGAAAAATACTGATTTCATTTCACAAAGGATGCAATTTTCTGGTAGATAAAAGAGAAACTGGAGCTTTTCCAAAACTTCAGAATATTAATTTTCAAGGGAAAATAGCAAGAAAAAAAAAGCAAAATAAATGAAAGGGAAGGCTTCAGTTAGTCTTGGTTCCTTTGAATAGAAAGGACTGGATTTATTTTGAACAGCTGTGTTTATTAGGTTTGCTGATCACAGCAGTTATAGCAGCTGAGTAACGGGAAGGTTAAATTTTAAAAACAGTTAACTTGGAAATGTGCTTGTGCCTTGTAAGGAATTAAAGTTATTGTCCTTTTCTCCCCTCTCTCTAAAAATTGTTTTTGTGAGGTGCATTTAGGTCATTAAGCATCGGAACTCTGACAGAGCTGCCTGAAGTGAATAAACCTGCTTTTCTTCTAGACCCTGAGAAATATTTTAGGAAAGAGCCAGAGGAACATCTCAGAATTACGGAGTTTCCTTTACTTTCTGAAAGTAAGTCCTCAGCCATCATCTTACCTCTATCAACTCTGTCCATGGAACTCAATGAAAAATGAAACAGAGAAGCATGAGAATAACATGTTTGCCTTGCAGATTGCGGTGAAATGTGGCTCATCTGTTGAGGTTATAGCTCAGCCGCTGATCTGTGCTTTCAGAAAGGAGATGCCTTTATCTTGTCATTTCTCTGAATCAGAATCCCATGAACAGGTATCCTGAAATGCTGTGGATGAGAACCTTTCCCTCCAAAATAATCTGAATTTTCAAAAATGATAGCAGAGAATAAGCCATCATGAGAAGAGAGTCTCTAGCAATCTGATTTTGTTCTTTTCATGCCTCTAAAATTACAGGCCATTAATGTGTATTGTCTCAGAGGCTGCCAGCTGCAGTGCTTGGCTGATAAGGGAGGACAAGAAAATCCAACATAGAAAATATAAGTGAATGATCTCTAAAGATTCAGAAACAAGATATGCAAAAGAATGGTCTTTTTTTTCAGACTATTCTAGGGTTCTGAGTCCCTAAGAATTTGAAGAACAATTTCTGTACAAAATCCTTGCTGCAAAGGGTGGCTCCAACCTGTGAGGAACATAGAAAGCATGTGGACACAGGGAGCGCCTTAAAAATCACTTAACAAAAGTGCAAGTTTCCAACTTGTAACAGTTCAGAACTCCAAACAGATCTGTGGTTTCTAAACTTTTCAAATCCTCTGAAAAAAAGGAGTTTAACCTCATCCTTGAGCAATAATAACCCTTTCAGTATAAAGGTGTTTTCTTAAATCCACACTTGCACAAATTTAATCTTCTGCCTTTCGCTTGATCCCCTATATAAAGGGAAAACAGTTGCTCAGAAATTCTTATTTTTTTTGTACAAGATCCCAATGACGAATGTAACTGTGCTGTATACCTACAAAGTACCAATAAACTCAATGAGAAAAAAAATCTTATTTTTTTGAAATTCCTTTTATAAGTAAGGTACAGCTGAGATTCTTCATCACCATAGTTCCCAGTCCAATTATCATCAGTTTCCTTTTATCTTTTTTTAGAATTCCTCTTTGATAAATTTATAATCATTTGATTTGTTATTGTGTTTCTATTGTTTCATCTATTGTTTCTGCTAATTGCTATTCAAAATGCCAAGACATAAACTTTAGGGCTGTGTGTAACCATTAGTGAATCTGATGAGGCTTTCAATCTATCACCCATCCCATTTTTTTTTTTTTAACACAAGTATGCTCCACCTTCAAGAATGAATGTGAGGAGTATTGGTCTTGTTCTTAGAAGCCAGATACAGGAAGAATCTGGGGGAATAGTCAGTAAAACAGATCCAGAGAGCCAGGACAAAGCAGTATAAATAGCCCAAACACAAAGTATTCAGAAACCAAGATAGAGCAAGTGTCAGAATTGAGATACGATAAATAAGTAACAGGGAGTATGCAAAATCTGAAGAACAAGCTGTGGGAAAGGGACAAGGAAGGTGCAGATGAATTCATATGCACAGGGAATGTGCATGCAGGGCCTGGGGTGATGGCTGCGTGGAAATGCTTGAAATATCTAAGACTCTAAGAAACTTCTAAAGAAAAACATTTTCATCATAGATTTCTTAGTATTAGATTTTACTTTACATTTTCCATGTAGCTTCTTAAAAGATGATCTTTCTTTTGCTTTTTAAATTTTTTTCTTCAGCTTTTATTCTTTGCCTCCCTTAGGAAATATTTGCGCTTACATGGCATGTTTTTCCAAATGAAAAGTTCTGTTTTAAAAGTTTCTGAACTTGTAAGAGGGATTGATGCAGACTCTTGATGATGATAGAATATAGGACACGGAATGGTACACGTGAGGTTTTAAAAATGCTCCAAGGAGGAAGAGGTCAGACTCCTTCTTTCTGGTGCTGAGGAAGAAGTTCAGAGTAAGGGTTACATCTGAGCTGGGGCTTAATGAACAGATAAGCGTTCAAAGTATGAGAAAGGAGGCCTGGATGTGAAGAATAGAGAAATAATGTGAGAAAAGACATCAGGGATGAGCAAGGAAGGACAGAGGTAGAAACACTGCCAAGTTGGTTGCTATGGGCAACATCAGATGTTTAGACATTTAAAGGAGTTTAATGCACAAGCAGAAGCAAAATGGAATGGTTCAAGTGTAGAACATGTTGAGTTTGAGTTACCGGTGCATCATTTAGAAGATGTAAGTAATTATAACAACCCTTGCATAATAGCATAAAGTCTTCCACCAGCAGATATGCAAATAATGTCTGTTCATGTATATATTTAGTGTTTTCTAAAGTAGATATTGAATACCTTCTCTTTATGTAATCAGCATTTCTTAAGGTAGATATTGAATGTACTAGCATCTATATTGGATGTTAGATTCACAGAGATGTGTGTGTGGTCAATCTTCAAAAACCTTGAAAAGTCTGGTTGGGGAAATAAAGAATTACATTCTGCAACAAGGGTTTGGTACTGATAAGCCCTGGGTCCTTCAGAAATTAAGAGGTTTCTTAGGGAAAACAAGACTATGTCTGAATTTGTTATAGTGTAGATTTAGAATGTCCCCCAAGCCTCGTATGTTCAGAGGTTGGACTTCTAGGAAATGACTGAGTCATGGGTGCTATTATCAGAGATGGATTGATTCATGGAGGAGTATATGGGTGAATGGGGTGTTAGGAGGCAGGTCTGGTCAGAAGAGGCAGCTAGCTAGGGGTGTGACTTGGAAGGGTGTGTCTCCCCATCTCTTCCCTTTCCTCTTTGCACCCTGACCGCCACAATGTGAGCAGCTTTCCTCGGCCAGGACCTTTCCACCGTGGTCTTCCTGCCTTGAAATCCACCAACTATGGACTGAATGTACTAAAAATTGTGAGCCCAAATAAACTGCTCCTTCTTTAAATTGTAGGTATCAGGTATTAAATACAGCCTGTGATGAGAATTTGACCGAGAGAAAGCTATAGGGTCAACGTTAAATTGCTATTTTCCAGGAAAGAAAAAAAAAAAGAAGATATTTTTGGTTAAAGAATCGCATACTCACTATGAGGCAACATGAATAACATGTAGCTCCCAATGGCTAGGTTCTAACGTGAATTAACTTACAGAGATACAGGATCATGAAGCCTCAGTGTGCTATATGTAAGGACCTTGGTATTTACTTTATCAGAAACATTTCAATCAATTATCCTGAATCACTCATTTTATCTCCTCTATGACCTCTTTAGTTTTCATAGCTCTTTGTATTATTCTTTTAGTGATTGCCCTAAAGGCATTATACTTCTACTTGTGCTCTTTATTTCTTCTTGTAGTACCAGGCTTATATCTGAGATCCTTTCCTGAAGGATCTGAAGAACTTGCTGTTGCATTTCTTTACTCACCAATAATTTCCCCACCTTTTATGTGTGTGAAAAATGCATTTATTTCATTTTGGCTTTGAAAAGCTATTTTCACTGAATTTGAAACTAGATGTAGGGTTTTTTTTTCCTGCTCTTTAAAGATAACATGTTTCCCTGTTTCCATAGTTTCTGTTCAAAATCATACTCTTAATTTTATTCATTCTTCTTGTTCTCACTACTTTTAAAAGCTTTATTCTTGGTTTTCAGAAGTTTTAATGTGATGGATCTAAATACAGTTTTCTGTATATTTATATGACTTAGGGTTCACCAAAGTCCTTGAATGCATCTTTCTTCAACTGTGAAGTTTTCAGCCATTATTTTTTCCCAAACATTATTTATGCTCCATTTCCTCTCTCCCCTAGGAGATAATCCCTCTATGATTATGATAACATGTATATCAGACTATAAAAACATGATATCCCAAATGTTTCTGTGCCCTTTTCTCCGTGTTATTTGCTCGTCTGAGCTTTGAATATTTTTTGTTGACTTTTCTTTGAGTTCGTTAATCTTATCTTATTATTACTCATTTGTTCATTTGTTTTTATTTTCTTTTTTCCTCTCTCCCTTCCTTCCTACCCGCCCCCCCGCCATTTTTCCGAGAGAATTTCACTATGTTGCTCACTCCGGTCTCAAGCACTTGGATTCGGGTGATGCTCCAGCCTGAGCTTCTCATGTAGCTGGGATTGCAGACATCACCCTGGTTTGTTTTCTTTACCATGCTTACAACACTAATTTTAAAGTTCTGGCCTGTTAACACTAGTATCTGGATGATTCTCAGGTCTGTTTCTAACATGTTTTTCTTCTTAGTTATGCTGTATTTTTCTCACTTCTTTAGAAGCCTTTACATTTTTATTGCATAAGAGAAAGTATAAAAGCTGAAATCAATGTTATTTTCTTGCAAACAATTCACTCTTTCCTTAGTTCAGCAGGAAGGGTGAAGGGCTGACCACCTTAAACAAATTAGATGTTGAGAGAGGGCAGTGCTCAGGTACCACTTCCCTGTTGTAGATATCTTCCTTTAGTGTTATACTGACTCTGAAGTACTGCAAGATGCAGGAAATAGTACTTTGCATTTAGTCTCTCACACTACACTACCATGCAGGGAGTGTTCAGTGGACAGAACTAGCCAGAACTATGTGATTTTTCTAGATTGCAATAGCCATGAAAAATGGATTTTGCTTTTCCATAGAAGAGACTTTGGATCTATTGTACATCAGTTTCTTAGCAATTCCTAAATATGATAAATCCCCAGAAGAAAATACTTGGCAATCTAAACTCAGCCAAGAAAGGTTCTACTATGTTTAAAATTTCAGTTAATATGGTCAGCTTTGCTTCTGGACTGCTGATGGCCTTAAGACCTTATTTATAACTTGCCTGCTTTTTTTTTTTTTTT